TCCTGGCTGAATCCAGCACACTCCATTAGGAACACCTTCATGCTTTAAAGTATCTTTTTATCTGACCCGTGAGATTCCATTCAGCTTATTCTGTCAAAGTACTAAATCACTTTTCGTCTTGATGTGCTCAGGAGAATGTTGGGCATGCACCCCAATAATAATCAGTAAGTTAATATTTTAGAGGGGGCTGTTGCCAGTGAATTCAGCCCACTGAATTGTTGGGGGCTGCTTCCTTTTTTAATGGGTGGTAGAGAGGGCCACCAGTTAGGCAGCTGGGCTACCGTAGAGGACAGAAATCAAATTTCCTTCTATTACCTCACCTTCTTTCCCAGCAACCGCTACTGAGACACCATTTTTTGCTCTCTAGATTTATGCTGTTACCCACTAATGGGGCAATCTTGTAATTTAAATAATAGCAGTGTCCTCTTAGAGAGCCAAGAGTTTAGAGTTCAGTTGGAATCATCACGCAGGAGGGGTGACTTGGTATAGTTACCCAGGTAAAGCTCGACTTACACTTCCAGTTATTTGAAAAACTGCAGGATTATCAGTAGTGTTAAAAACTCTTAAGCAAGCAGGCTGGAAAGGAACCTCAGTTTAAAAGGACAGTGTTTAAATTGGAAAGTGCAGTTCTTGAAAATAGGAAAACGCCAGACTTGCAGCTGATGGCACATTCTGCCCTCTTACAAAAGCGTTGTGACTCAACCCTGAATTACTTCTTTCCATACTGTTTTCATAGTTCACTGTCTCACTTGGAGCAAAGAATAAACCCATGAGGAGCAGAAGTAGATTTTAAGTTGCTGTCAGCCTTGCATTTTCTGATATGGTGTTGCTTGATTCTTCTTACAGTAAATTTTATTGTTAACATTTGTATTTACAGGTCACATTTCAGTGTCCAAGCCAAGGTTTGGTACACAGCAGAAGCATATAGTAGGAGAGAGACAGTTAATAGAGCTAAGTACACACAAAGCAGGGCTGGAATGGATGAACCTAAAGATGAGAGATTGCATACAGGCTGACGAAGCCAGGACTAGAACCCTGGATTTCTGATTGACTGGAAGATACCCTGAGGTTGCAGACCACCCTTGAAACCCGGGAGGTGAAAGGCCTTACTTATCTTTCCCTCTTGTCCTCCGTCCAGTCATATTCACGTCCAACTGAAACATTTTGATCTGTCCATAGGTGCGTGATTGTCTGAATTATCATTCCATTGGCCAAATTCTTCATGGCCCCATGGGAGTCAGGGAGGAGCGGAGATTTTGGTTTCTGAAAGCCTTGTCTTGGGGTCTTTGGATCTTTACCCTTGAATGATCTGTACAGGACATTTGGTGTAAAAGTCTTTTGCTTTGTTTAAAGCCTGTTACCTTTAGAAAACAATCTGTATGTTCATGACTAGAGCTGGTGACAGTCCTGCTGTGCCACAGGCATAACTTCAGTACTCGGTTGTTTCGGCTGATTCTTAAGCAGCATCTAACAAAGTCTTCAGATACAGAATTTGCACTTAATCTAAGTGCTTATAGGGTCTGGAAAACCTAGGTAGTGCCTATACAACAGCAAAAATGATAGCTCTGTATGTTTTATTTTGTTTCCCCTGCCCAAAACAACAGGTGGAATTCTTTGAACCCTTTTGGGATAGTGGAGAACCACGAATTGGAGAAAAAGGAGCAAGAGGCTGGAAAGCATGGATGCACCAACAAGAGAAGGGTGGCTGGATTGCTGTTAAGCCTGGTATGCCTGTGCCCATTTGTGTAGCTGCGTGTCCACCTCTTCTTCTAAACATTTTGATCAGAGTGATTCAAGCTGATTCTTCTTGTTTGCATACAAGTGTTAAAAAATACTTACCAGGATTAAGATAAAGTATGTTACACTCCACAAGGAAAAGCACGTGTTGCATTCCGTGTGGGATTGTTCATGGAATATTGTTGCCCTTTCTAGGGTTGAGAATTAAGGGAGAGGATGGCATGTCCTCCACTCTGTGCTGAAAAGGCTAAAGGGGTGAGTACTTGGTGGAGACCCATGCCCATCTAAAGTGGAAGGAGCTCCTTCCCTGAAGACCCTTTCATCATATTGGTAGACCAGGCAGGACGATAGTGTTAGATGAGAGTTGCCTCAAGGATTCCTCGCATGATTCTCTTTCCAGAATCAGGTTTCAGTTTCTTATCGCAAATACACAGTAGAAGTAGGAGGAAAATCTTTCCTTTCTCTTTGTGAATCATCTTCACTTGGCTGGAGTGCCTCTGGGTGAGTAGGGATGCTGAAAGCACCTCCCTGCTGCTTAGCCCCACCGTGTCTTAGGGTGTGCAGTGCTTCTGTTAATGTCAAGGACCATTCTCAAACAGATGTGTCTTGAAGGGAAGCAGGGTGCTGAAACGTGTCTGGCCAGAGATGAGCTGCTTCAGCTGCTGTAGCAACTCTAATGAAGCAAGTTTGGCTCTGCTTCTACTAAACAAAGGACCTGAAAAATAAGCCTGTGTTTTCCTTGTCTCTGGATTAAGATGGAATTTCCTTGCCCCTTAACTGAGGTCAGCAGTTCCACTGCTGATGGCCGTAGACGTTTTGTCCACAAATCGAGAAGACTCAGTATAGACCAGAGGAGCACGGCCAGTCTTGGGCAGGTCCAGCGCACATCAGTGCTTTTCCCCATGCGTGTCAAGCCCAAAGGTTCAGGTGCTATTGATAATCCAGTGTAACCTCTGAAATTTGTCTTTTTTTTTGAACTTCGGTTAGATTGTGGAAAGGCATGGAGCTGTTGTCTAAAGGCGAGGCTACAGATTTCAAAAAAAGAGACTAAAGACCACTCGTTTGTTTTACCTGGAAATTTAAGAACTGTGAGCGGGAGTGTTTCACCTAGTTAGTGGCAAATGTCAGGATCAAGAATTTGGAGGTGGTGTAGAAATGGCCTATACCATTGCTGTTTCTTTGTACCCGGAAAGTAGTGCAGGTAACCATAGTGGGGTTTTTTTCCTCAATAAGGAAGAAAAAAGTATTTGAAAAATCTCTACCAGCTTTCCCTTAGTCTACCCTAGTTCACGGATTCCAGCACAGAATTAATATATTGCTGTCACAGGAAAAATATGCTAATTGTATCTAATAGCCCGACACAGAAGTGGGATGTGGTTAAGCTCTTCCTTTCCTGTGTGTGTAACTCACTGGTTGTTTCCGTTGCACGCTGAAGTGTTGAAAATACCAGGTGTTACAAAGCACCCTTGCCAGGCTCGGTTTGCGAGGTATGACGCCAACAGCACTACGTTTTACCTAACCATGGTTCTCTCGGCGTGCGCTGTGCACGTGGGTTCACCGAGCACGTTTGGGACTGTGACACCCAGATGTGAAGGGAAGAGCCTAAGTTGCACAAAAAGGTGACTGACTCTTGGCTGTCGCTTGCAAACTGCTGTTGGTAAAGGTGGTCCCCAGCCTACCGGTCTTTTCTCCTCTGGAGGAAGTTGAAGTGCTGACACCAATACACTGGTTCAGAAAGTTTGGAACCCTCCTACTCGTACAGAGTCGGTGTCAAAACTGAGAACTGATGTGGGAATTTTCAGCTCTGTCTTGTGTCCAATCTATTAACACTGAATTGGTTTACTTTTTTAAAGTAGTTAAATTGTATGTCAGGTCTGGCCTTTGAATTTGGTGGATTAATTTTACTTTAATAATTTTGTGGGGGTGTCTTGATTTGATTTTAGATGATGATGATGAAGAGATCGATGAGGATCAAGAAATAAAGGACAAAACTCTCCCCAAGTGGCATATTTGGTTGGATATTGAATATTCTCGTGAAGCGAGGCATTGGTTACCTTGGAGACCAGACAAAAGCAAAGAGGGAATTGAAGATGATTGTGAAGATCCAGAAAGACAGGTCATTGTGATATAATAAAACAAGGGGAGATGATAAGATGAATTATTCTTTTATTTTAATTCACTGTCAGTGGGTATTTTGGAGGAGTAATCCTTTTCTTCATTTAGGAAGAATTCTCACCTTTGTTCAGAATTCCAAATTCACTTGAGATTTTGTGCTGAGACTTCTGAAGTCCATGGGAATCTCATGGTAAACTTTGGAAAGGGCTGTCGGCAAATTGTCTTTGCCGTTCTGTGATTTCTCTCATCTTTGTGTGGAAATATCACAGAAATCTGTGTTTAAGATGCATCAAGTAAACAACGGGTTTGTTGCCTTCAGGTCGGATAGTACCTTTCAGACCTTCATTGTGTAAAGTTTCTGTGGAGGTCTTCGGTACTCAAGGGCAAGGAAATCTCTTGATAGCAGATTTACAGTCTGACTGGAAGAACACATTGCTTGTTTAACTCATCTGGTTTTAATTTGAATGACCTTCCATTACCGTTTTATAGTAATTATGAATATTTATGGACTTGAAAAGGTTCTTTAATTACATAAATTACAGGTTTGCTAATTTTATTAGACTGCATAAATTAACAGAGTTTGGTTTAATTTGGATTTTTTTTTAGGTATTATTTGATGATCTTGGACCATCGTTAATCCAGCTTTCTAATCCAGATCTTCAGTGTCAACTGCTGTACTCGTTTTTGCAATTCCTGGGAGTTCCATGTACAAGTAAACTCTTTCCTTCCAACTTCTATATTGCCATGGATGAAAATAACATCTTCGACAGCGGGCTTTCTGATGAAAAGCCGCTGACTGCTGTTGATTTCCCACTTTCTGGATTCAACAGCATTGGTCATATGGACACGATGCTGCGAAGGAGACGTCACGTAGGCCACTGTAAAGAAGGAGAGGAGTTCATACAGAATGTTTTTCAGGTTCTGTTCCTGCTGTTTCCTGGAAAGGAAAAATCTAACCTGGCCGTTTGTTGGTTACAGTATGAAATATCTAAGGTAATGAGGAATCTGCATATAATCACTTTTGTGATGTGTGGCGTTCTTGGGTGTTAATGTTTATAGTGACTGAAAATAAATACTGATGAAAACAAAGTCTTGTAGAAGTATTCAAATCAGGAAATGCCAGTAGCAAGAGATTTGGTTGGTGCTGAAATACAGAACAGTGTGAAAACAAACACAGTGATGAAATTAAAAAATGCTATGAGGCTTGGTTTTTTTTTTTTTTTCCCCCTTTCTTCTCCCACACCTCTCAAAATTTCTTTTGTTTATTCTTCCCTGCAGGTAGTTCAGTGTCTCCAAGCAAAAAAGAAGAAGAAGCTGAAGGCACAAGGGAGGAAGAGTAAAAAGCTGGCCAAGAATCTCCTTAAAGGACCTGACAACCGAAATGACCTTTCTCTCTGGAAACTGTATGCCTACCTGGAGTGGCTGCTTGGTAACATCGACGATGCCAGGAAGGTATTTGACACGGCTCTTTGCACGGCAGGGACAGGAGGATTGAAGAGTCCCCAGCTCTGCAGCCTCAGTCTGCTTTATGCTCAGCTGGAAGTGGAACTACTGGAAAGTATAGAAGGGGCTGTTACGTCACGTGCTGTTCATATATTGACCAAATTGGCTGAAAGCGAGCCATATGTGCCCTACAGCGGACAAGTGTTACCTGTCAATGTCCTGAAAGCTCGTAAAACATATGAGCATGCGCTGCAAGATCATTTAAGCCAAACGGCAGTTTCCGATCAGGATCGTGTCAGTGGTGCTAAACAGCTGGTTAATTTGGTTGGTTGCTATGCCCTGTTCCAGTATTTGACTGCTGGGATTGATGCCGCCGTATTAATATATGCACAGACTTCTGAAAAACTTGAAGGTGCTGATCCACAGAAATGTGAAAATACTGCAGAGAATTCTGGCACTCAAAATTTTCCCACTGCTCTTGAAGCTGTCACACTGCTGCATACAAATTTACTCAGATTCCACATGAAAATTAGTGTTTATCCTTTGAATCCTCTGCGAGAGGCACTAACAGAGGCTCTGAAACTGTATCCTAGCAACCAGTCTCTCTGGAGGTCATATATCCACATCCAAAGGAAATCTTACAGTGCTGGCAAAGCACGAAGGTTTTTTGATGGTGTCACGAGGTCTACTGACTCCTTGGAACCATGGCTGTTTGCAATCCAAGCAGAGCAGAAGAGAAAAAACCTCATGGAGAACGTCCAGAGGTAGTACCTTGCAGCTCCTTAGGATTACGCTTTTTTAATCTGTCCAACCATGCAAGAGAGGAGAGAAAATGCTATCGTAGTTCTCATGTTGCAGATGAGGAAGCTGTAGCTAGGGGAGGGGTTTTGTTCAAGGCTGAAGAGTCAGTGGCAGAATCATGACCTAGGCGATAGTCTCACACCCTTTCTGCTGGATGGGGTTGTGTGTTGCTTTGTGCTTGATTACTCGCAGCTGCCATCAAGATGCTGTGCATCTCTTGAAGTAGTATTTAAATAACTGAGGACCTCTGGGGCGGCCGAGGCAGGCACTGCAAGCTTAGGAATGGCTGCGTTGTAATACAGCAGTAAAGAGCATCGTACAGACCCGCGCTGCAGTGTGACAGCTCGCTGCCCCACTTGGCTCCTGGGTCACAGAACACAGTTGTGGCAGATCTGTTTCCATAGTGAGTACTGGAGAGTTCAGTCTTCATCCGGGGCTGTTGCTAGGTAGAAGAGCCTGGAAATTTCCTGAACTTGCAGTGTGATCCGGGCTCAGATTTTTTGCTCCTGGGAAAGGAGGAAAGGGTAGATGTGGGGGACAGAGGTATGTGCCTGTTCTTAAAGCTTAGTCTCTAACTGTTGCTTGGAGCTGCCTATCCGCTGCTCCCTACATGTCTCCAGTGACACTGTCAGCTTGGATCTTTGTGTCTGCACGTAACATCTTCCTAGAAATCTCCGTTGCTGTCTGCAGCTTTACGCAGCTGTAGGCCCGCGGTGTTCACGCCTGATGAAATGACAGTCGTCAGCGTGCTTTACAAAGACGGGGCGCCCACTGCCGTGGTTGCCGCAGTCAGACGACAGGCAGACATACCTGATAGCGACGTTCCTCAGCTGTCATCCTAAATTGCAATAGGAATTCTACAGCCACCAAACTAAATGAGGATCGTAATTTGATTTACTGTTAATTACAGACTGACACCATGATAGGTTCTCATCATTGTTACTGGAAAGTGATGTTAAAATTTCAGAATGATGATTTTCTCTGTGACATTTAGTTTCTTTCCAGATTGTTCTCTGCTGGCACAGCCTCTCCCATAGATTATATTGGTATAGGGACAAGTGGGATGTTGCAAGAGCAGAGCTGAACTGCTACAACAGAGAGAGAAACGGCCTGTCAGTCAGGCATAAATAAAACTGGTGTTTGATGATGTTGTGACAAACTAAGAGAATGCCTGTGCTGTGTGTGACTATTTCCTATTCCGTTTGCTACTTCTGCTTGTTTAAGTGCATGGAATTCCTTTAAAGACACGTACCCGAAGGGTAAAACAGTAACGTATGTAAGTCAGCGTGAGGTACAGATGTCTGGCTCCATGCAGAGTGGGTGACATCGTTTTCCCTCATGGCAGAGGCTAAGGTGAGAGAGAGCACGACCTCAAAGACCCTTGAAAAAAGAGGCAAGTTGGGAGCAAGCGTTAAGGGTGAGTGGAACAAGCTGGCAGGCTGAGGGTGCACACGCGGAAATGGTGATATCATGAGCGCTCAGGCGTCGAACAGAAGTCAGTCTGTATCAGCCGTAGCTAGAAATCAGTGCTTCCATGAAAAATACTTACCTGTCTTTGTGCTACGCCTGGAATTTAGGGGATTTGAATCTCTGGGTGAAAAAGAAAATTACTGTTGTAGTCATGGTTGAGATCCAGAGCTGTGATCTAGGCCTTGATCCAAGACCAACGTATGGCCTTACGATGGGCACGGGTAGATGTGACCGGGCTGCCTGGGCACCAGGAGGAGGCTTGCTGACCTAGGCTTGAATTGGGTTGGAGCTGCTGTGCCAAGCTTGGAATGATAAATGATCTTGAATGAAGAGGAAGATAACTGTTTTAAGATAGAGGATAGTGGATTATTGTACTCAAGGAGAAATTGTCTCCTCCAGTTGGACAGGCTGAATTATTCAACAAGCTACAAGAATTTTCACAAAAATACCTCATTCATCTATTTTTTAAATGGTTTTCCTATTTAGAAACATGTTGGTTAGATTAGCAAGTGCTAAAAAACTGGTTTATAACATTCAGAGTTTGTAGCACGAAATGCAAAAACCTGGCTGTGTAGAGTGCTGCGTGAAGAGAGACAGGACGTGGATCTTCACCCTCTCTTACCCGGACGTGGTCCTTCAGCGAGGGTTTAAGGGACTGGGTTTCTCTTCTGTGTTGCAGGGCAGATGCTGGTGAAGTACACTCTACTATTCCTGAAATTGGGTTAACAAATCGGATTGTAGCTCTGTTTGAACACGCCGTTCAGAGTGAAAACGGTACCCATTGTCCGCTGCTGTGGAGAATGTATTTGAGCTTTCTGGTAAGAAAGAGAGTATCTGTTCTGGTTTATTTCGTTTCTTTTTACCATATTTGGAATTTCTCATGAGCACAGCTACAATGCTGCCATACCTATACGATTTGCAAGCCATGAAGATGAATAAGGGGTTGGAGCGTGTGTTGTTCAGGGAGAGGCTGGGAGACTTTGGATGTTCAGCCTGGAGAAGTGAAGGCTCCTGGAAGATCCTGTCAGGGCATATAAATACCTGACGTGCGGGTGTGAAGGCAGAGACAGGCTCTTCTCAGTGCTGCCTAGTGACAGGACAGGAGGCAGTGGCCACAAACTGAAATACAGAAAATTCCATTTAAACATCAGGAAAAGCTTTGTTACTGTGAGGGTGATGAAACACTGGGACAGCTATCCAGAGGTTATGGACATGGTTCTGAGCCAGCCTGCTGACGCTGCTTTGAGCTGAGGGGTTGGAGCAGTGGTCTCCAGAGGTCCCTCCCAACCGCTGTGACCCTGTGGGAAACTTAGGGGCAGAAGGCTGTAAAAGCTTTTTGCACCGCTGCCAAAGTTGCATGCATGGCTCTGACAGCAGCATTTCCAGTCAAACGCACCCCTGTTCAGGAAAGGGACATCAGCATAACTTTATATGACCAGTGTATCGGTAATAGGTACAAGAATTTCTAGGTTTTCCGAGTTGACAAGGGAACCCCCTGAGGTTTAGCAGCAGTACGGACGTAGTCAGAACAAGAGGAAATGTAAACTCGTGACTGAAGGTCTCCGGAGACCTCAAAACAGTTAAATGTCTCTTCAGGATTTTGGAATTACTACTTTTTTTTTTGGCCCTAAAATCCCGTTTGAGTGTTCTTTATAGCAGTTCAATTCAAAAGATTTTTCACCAGAAGTGGTAATTATTTTACCTGTAGCTGGGATGACTGAAGCTCAGGAGACGGTGCAGCACCGAGCTCTGCTGCCCTTCTCCTTCTGAGCTCCACAATGGCTGTGTGCTCTGTGCTTGTCTCACATAGGTGAATGGGTACTCTGAGGAAGGCATTTAAACTCCTTCCACATAGGTGCTAGTTTGGCATAGCTGTTTTTGTCCGTAAGGGGATTCAGCCGTAACAAGCTTCCACTGAGTAAGAAAGCTACATGCCTGATCTCCTCAGCGCACACAAATACTGCATGCTCACCTTCGCTGTCTCAAAGGTACTCCTGGGTAGCATAGGTGTAGCAGCCCGGGTGTAATCTTCGGTTAATGATTTGCCCTCTTGCCTGTGGCAGTATTACTGCCAGATGCAGGCAAAGGCATTGACTAACTGGAGTACTCG